CCTAGGAGTTATTTTGTCAAGGTAGACATGTGCAATGTATAGGCATAGTCTCATACCCTTACCTAGACTAGTTCACCTATCAAGTTATCTTAGTTAATATATGTAATCATATTTTCATGGACAAGTACTTTACATGCATAGTAGTAGACAAATAGTGCATATGAGAACCCCTTTCATTAGACACCGTAAACCTATACTACTTATAGACATGCATGAGGTGTATGTACATTGGACAACATTATCACATAATGTATAGACACATAACATTGAGGCAGCCACCCTATTAAGACCACAATACACATTCATGCATAGACAACACACCACATCATAGCATAGGAGACAAGACACCTTCAACATTGCATCAAATTCTCCTAAAATATGCTAAGAGTACACATTCATATGGGGGTACATAGATAGGAGGTCATTCACCATTTATACTTGATCATTGGCAGAACTTAGACTATACTTAACCCTAACAAGTTTATTTAAATGGAGAAGATATCACCAATACACCTACAACATGATACTAGATTAAGAGACTATGCTTAATACTTCATATTGGGTTATCATTATAACAACACTTCATAATTCATAACTTGCCTTCAATACCATGATCAGCATATATATATAATGACAAGAAATTAAACACCGCCACCGTAACTGAACCATACCACACGATACCAAACAAGGACAATTCAACTATCAATTCTATAGAAAAGTAGAGAGATATCGCAATCTTACCAATTTTTAACGCTTTGATCATCATTCTTCAATTCCCATAATTCATCAACAATTCACTGCAAAAAAAGTATCTAAAGGTACAATAACATACACGAAATCAACAATTCAATGATCATAGGTTTAAGATCACATTGCCCACATTATAGTCTAAATTGGGATTTTGGGAGGAACATGGGTTCATCATGAAATTGGATTGAAATCAATATAACAAACAGTATTAAATCATCAATTTATCATTAGCATGCTTTTGAAATCAATTTGAGAAAAAACTCATGGCTAGATTGAAAGATATAGAGTTTGATCATGAAATCTCTTTGGAAACCTTTGGAAGAACTCCTTAGATGAATGGATAACTAAGGATGAAGGACTACCATACCTCATTACATGAAGAAGACACTAAAAGATGATGAAGAATATATGGAAATTGAACCCCAAAGCTGACCTTGAGCTTCATCTCCGGTGGAGGTTTCTAGAGAGGATTTGTTTTGAGAGGGAAGGTGAAATTTTGAAGAATTAATTGGGAATGGTTTTTTTTATTAATATTAGCTAATTTAATGTACGTAAAATACCCCATAATAACCATCCACCCTATTTTTGGAATGTGGGGTGAATTTACTAATTCACCCCTTGCATGGCAGCGTTTTAGACGTGTTCAGGTCTCATTGACGGAGGACAGTCGACGGACCATTGTTTGGTCGACATCACGTACTGCTGCTTCATAAATGCTGACTGAGACATAGATTTTTGGGGGCTAATATCACACGTCTAAGTGTTGATAAATTCCCCCAATCGACGGGGCGTAGAATGGAATACGGTCCATCGTTTCCTTGGGTGTATATTGACAATGCCAATGCCTAGGCAGCGTTTGGGTCCTCCTAAAGGACCCCTTGGTGGTCTTTGGGGATTCTTTACTGGACGTTTTGAACGTAAATACAATCATAAACATGTTAAGGATCTTCTCTATTAATTTGAGGATAAACAACATGTAAAACATACCAAAGAACAGAACAACACACTAGCACGTTTAAGGTCCACGTCTCAGACATTTGACCTCCAAATCACTTCAAATCAAGTATCCACATTGTAAAACACTATATTAAAATATTATTAAACTTTTTAGGCACATGATTCTCTAGAAACCTGACTTCATTTTTGGGAGACCTTACAATATCCCCCACTTGGGAACATTTTTCCTCGAATGTCATTTGAGACATTTCAAACACATAAAATAATTGAATGAACCATAAAGCAGATCAGAACATTCAGCATATCATCACATAATAGTAAATGCACCAAACTACAAATGAACACAAACTTCAAACCATTTTGCAATCAATGCGACATAAGCAAGAAAAAACCTATATTTACTCACTCCTTAATGCATCAAGCACATAGGCACTTCTCATATTCATAGGAGGAACATCCTTCTCCTAATCATGACAGGGTCTTTACATATCATTTCATTAAGAGATCATCATGCAACAACCCTTAAGTTACACGTAGGAATATTCAACTCAAGAAGCAAACAACTAAGTCACACTAGATGCACATAGATCATGAGAAATGTAGATCAAAACATACCCTAGCATTTAGACATAATACCTTTTTGGCCATATTTAACATAATCATGCTTTTTTATGTTTAAAGAGGAATGTCCTTCTTCTTAACATACTCACATGTTATCATGAGTTCATACACAACTAATGCACAAAGGTCAATTCATTTTAAAGAGGACTTCTCCACTTTTGAACCAAAGCATTCTCATACTCTCTTCCTAATGAAGTCAAAATGGTAAATCACACCACACACATCACAACAATACAAAGTCATTACACATAGTTTCAAGTCATAGCATGACCCTAGTTTCATAAACATACATCAATTTAGGAAATTCTTGCAATTTATAGGCACTCATCAAGATCACTAGCTAAACATACTATCACTTCTCAAGAATGAGCCTACATTAACACTTACCAAATCAGAAAAGTCACATATTCCTAAGAGATTTCATTTACAGGGAGCTCAAATTCTCATTGTTGGCGTAAAAATCCACACCTTAAAAGTGACATCAATCATGCTCCTTACCTCCGCTCATGAAGTCTAATGAATATTTATCATACCAAGAGGCACAACAACATGAGAAAACATGAGTTTAATAAAAAAAATCCATTTACATTTTATGTAAATCCTTTTAGAACATGCACAACATAGTGTCATTCAAGACATGCATAACATATAGAGAACATGCAACTCATACTTATATGGAAAGTTCCCATCCTGATCAAGCTACTAGGAACTTTGTAATTTCAAACTTGAGTTGAAATATAAGGACAAGGTACAAATATCTATTATCTTACTGCTCATATCATCATTCCATACTTAGGGTGAAACCATTTTAGAGGGACTTGTCTCAACCTTTAAGAGGTACCATCTATATATCATCATTCCTTTAAGTCTAACACCTATAGGAAACGCATGTAAATCAAGCTAGGTCATGCGACCCAACCACATAAGTCCTTAACTACACCATGAATACCAAGGGTCTTGAAAACCTTAGGGGAATCAATAGATGAAACTTGGCCATAAAGGTCTCTTTCTTTTCTTCAACACTAGGCAAGGTAACTTCTATGTCATTTCAACCCATATTATCACCTTTGGAGAAAACTTACAAAACCCAAGCACATCCTTTACTGGTCATACTTAAAGCCACCCTCAATGGACCACTAACCACTTCTAGGTAGGTCAACATCAATACTCTCCTTCTCATTAAGGTTTAAGGGATAGATACTACCCTCCCCCCAAGTCAACCTTAGGCCGAACATAGTTACAATCTATGGACCAAAACCATTTCTTCCATTTTTTCCACTCTTAGAATAAGTTCAAAGGGAAACTAACCTACTAGGCATAAATGTTCTCCCATTAACTAGCATACTCTAAAATCACCTTACAAGGAAAGCATACTACCTTCACTTCTAGGATAAAGCTTATACCAAATACTCCAACCACACAAGGCAACTATAAAGCACTTCTCAAATAACAAGGCAATAATGAAACCTTTAAACATATACAAGGGTGACATTTAAATCATTCACCTATATAAAGGCAACATGAATCTTTATCTATTTATCACATACCATCAAAGCATTTTTTTTAAGTACCCTTGGGGGGGTAAGGAGCTGAGCAACACCCCCAGGCCTTAACATTAATAAAAGTAAAAGATACAAGGAGGGGGGCATAAACCTTACCTCCGATCCTAAGATGGTTCAGAAGTCAACTTTCCTAAAAAGGAAGTTCGACTCATCCCCTTACAATAAAAGAGAAACCAAAATACTAAGCACCTAGAAGAGAGGACTCCTCTCAATACAAAATATGTAGGAAACATAAATAAGGGAGACTCTCCCCTTACAAGAGTAAGACGAGAATAAAGGTGTATCCTATTCAACGAGACTTTACCAAATAGCATAGTCTAAGTGAATAGGCTCCTAACCAAAAACGATATAAGAACTATACCATAACAGAGAAGATCATGGAGGTTTCTTGATGCTTTTCAATTTCTTTCTCCTGAAATTAGCCATGCCAAGTTTTTCTATAATGAAGCTTCCTCTTGCAAGAGTAGGTAATTGATCCTTGATGTAAAAGTGTTGAACAATGTCTGTGTTGTGACTATATTTGGATAGCCGATCAGCCGTGTTGTTTGCCTCCCTGTAGACATGAGTAATCTTGAATCTTTCCAACTGATGCACTATTCTGTGGATTTCCCGGATGTATGGTTGTAGGTTCCATGGGTAGTTGGTTTGATTCGAAAGCAAATGAATGACCAATTCTAAATCCACTTCCAAGTGTATTTTTCTATATCGATGTTGAATGCACCAATCTAAACCATGGCTAACTGCTTGAATTTTCTCTTGGTTGTTGGTACCAATACCCAAAGGAATAGTAAATGCATATATCATATTACCTTGATAATCTCTTACTATTCCTCCTCCTCCATTTCTCCCGGGGTTGTTAAGGGCACTCCCATCAGTGTTGAGCTTGAGGAATGGTTGTTGAGGTTTCTCCCACGTTACTTCTTTAACCATAATAGCATGTTTGTAACTTGTCACCATTTCGATAAGAGAGTTCCAATTGTGAGGCCATTCGATGTATGGATAGGTTGTGTTGAGGAGATGGTTGAAGTCTTTGACTATGAGGAATTTTAATCGAGCTGTGTTGGATTTCTTTGCTCCGTATTTTGATGCGCAGCGATTTTTCCAGAGATTTCAGAGAATGATGACTGGCAGCACCCTGGTTGCCAGCTTCTGCAAATCAGTTGCCTGCGCCAGGTTCCTCCATTTCTGCAGTAGTGTGTGAATTGTGGAGTGCTCATTTTGCAGCCCTGCAGCTGCAGAAAAGAACCTCCAAATATTGTTATCAAAATGACCAGTTACAAATATATGATCTATGGTGTCTTCCCCAGGGCTGTAACAGCAGGAACATTGGGCTGCCTCCCTCCCAAATTTAATAATTCTTTCGTTAGTGGGGAGCTTACAACGCAATGTCCTCCACACTAACAAAGAAATTTTAAACAGGATTAACTTATGCCAGATGTTCTTACTACAATTATTTTTCTCCTTCCTATGACGAATGTGTTCCCAGGCAGTAGCACAGGAGAACTGCCCTTTCTCAGAAGTTTTCCTGACTCTCTCGTCCAGCATGTGTTCCTGAAACTTAATGTCAATATTCAAAACTTTTGAAATCAGTAATGGAGGAACCCATTGTCGAAGCAATGTTTCGTTCCAACTTCCATTAATTAGAAAAGGAGAAATAGTGGTGTTGTTTAGGCTCGTGATATGATTGCATTGAGGAGTAAGAGGGTCATCTCCTAACCAATCATCCCACCAAAATGAGCTGATGCCAGAGTTGATTCTCCATTGAATTTGGGATTCGGCAATGGCTTTATTTTTCATCATAAAATTCCAAACCAAAGATTGCCCCGTGCGTAGTTTTTTTGCTACTGGATGAGCCCTTTGACAGTATTTTACTCTCAAGAATCGACCCCATAATGTCTCCTTGCTTCTGAAAATCCACCACAGTTAATGTTGTAATTAAACACACACATCTTCAAGACCTCTTATACCAATACCTCCCTCATCCAAAGGAAGGCACATCGTATCCCAAGAGGCCCAATGATACTTTCTTTTTTCCTTGTCCCAACCCCAAAATAAATCTGTCATGGCTTTCTTGATATACCGGATAGTTGTTTTAAGAGGAAAGGTAGTTGACATTGTGTGGATAGGAATGGATTGTAGAACATGTTTGATCATAGTAGCCTTCCCACAAAAACTAAGAATCCTTGATTGCCATCCCGTGATCCTTTTGGTGATCTTTGCGACTAAATCTGAATAGTAAATGATTCTTTGACCAACAATATCAAGGGGCACCCCAGTTAGATAATGGGACTGTTTTTCTGAGTGAAGCCTGTGATTTCTCCAAATACATTGAAGACCTCAGGGGGCGTTCGATGGGACCATGAAATGACTCTTGTCTTTGTTTATGAGTTGATCTAAGACAGACACATATGTGGCAAGAGTTTTCATAATCATATGGAGAGTATCTCTAGTGGTGGAAGAGAAGATAATGATATCATCCGCAAAGCTGAGATGATTAATCTGTGGCCCTCTACTTTCCATTTGAAAATTCTTGTAATGCTGTTGTTGATGAAGCATATTAAGCATCCGAGACACCACCTCTTCCCCTAAAATAAATAAGGACGGCGATAACGGATCACCTTGTTTGAGACCCCTTGTTGACTTGAAAAAATCATGCCTGTACCCATTAATAATAACAGAATACCAGTTGTTGCGCATTATTCTCCACACAAGGTCAATAAAATTCTCACCAAAACCCATTTTTTGCAAAACCAAACAAGTATACGACCATGACACTCTATCCTATGCCTTGGCCATATCGAGTTTGATTACCACATTGTCACCTTTATTGGGTTGTTTGATACGATGAGTGATCTCTTGAGCCAACATAATGTTTTCCGGGATACTTCTTCCCTTAACAAATCCCGACTGATTCTCAGAAATAAACTGAGGTAAAATACCTGCTAATCTGAAACAAAATATCTTGGGAATAATTTTGTTGGAGAAATTACTCAAGCTGATGGGTCTGAACACTGAAAATTTATTGGGATGATCAATTTTAGGAAGAAGAACAAGACAAGCATGTGAAAAATATTTAGGCAAAATATTTCCACAAAATAAATGTTGCACAACCTTTAGAACATCTTCCTTAATAATATCCCAACATTATTGATAAAATTTCCCTCCAAACCCATCCGGACCTGGAGACGAGTTAGGATTCATGGAGAAAACAACCTTTTATAATTCCTCCATATTAGGCATTTGTTGAAGAAGTTGGTTCTACTCATCTGTAACCATTCGGGGAATACAGTCAAGAACCTCCTCACTGATTCTGTCAGATTTCCCAGTGAAAATATTTTGAAATTACATACAAGCTTCTTTTGCAATGTTCTCATCTCCCTGTATCCAAGTATCCTCATCTGTGCAAATTCTGTGGATAAACAACTTCCTTCTCCTTCCTCTCATCATAGAATGAAAGTATTTGGAATTGGTATCCCCTTCTTTGAACCATTGGAGCTGAGTTTTTTGCTTGGGTATGGAAGTTTCCAACTTCATGGATTTGATGTAATGAGCATTAATAAGATGAAATCTTGCTCTGTTTTCCTCTGAATTATTTTGTATGACATTCTCCTCCGCTTTTTTAACCTGTTCTTCAAAATCTATCACCATTGAAAAGATGTTGCCATATTCACTCTTAGACCATGTACTCAAGGTAGAAGCCAATTTCTTCATTTTCTGATGAAGTTTCCACATAGGATCACCACTTACTTCCTCTTGCCAAGAGCTTTGTACAATATCCTTGAAATTTTCATTTTCAGTCCAACAGTGCAAAAACTTAAAATATTTTACTTTTTGGGATATTCTCACCTCCATTTCCATTAATAAAGGGCAATGGTCCGAGCCAACAGCAGGAAGATGAGAGATAGTAGTTTGTGGCATACATTCCAACCATTTATCGTTAACCATGGCTCGATCCAATCTTTTCCACAATCTTGCTTCACCGGATCTTTGATTACACCAAGTGTAATATTGACCACTGTAGCCTATGTCCATAATACAACAAGCCTCAATGATATCAATAAATTCCAGACTTTTGTTCATATTATAGGGTATGCCACCATCTTTTTCATCAGTTGACGTAATGACATTAATGTCTCCAATCGTACACCATGGGTTATCCATATTGGAGATATGATAAAGTCTTCCCCAAAGAGGTCTTCTTAAGTGTTCCTTATACTTAGCATAAATAAGAGAAAAAATAAATTTCTCATTGTGTTCAACATGTTTGGCCCAACAAGTGATATGTTGATCATGAATTTCCAAAATATCACATTCCATATCATTGGTCCAAAAAGCCAAATTTTGCCATTATTATTACAAAGAGCATTATCCATAGACAAAAGAAGCTTGTATTTGTTGATTTGACAGTTATCTGCAAACGGTTCAAGAATAGCAATCATAGACAAATTATGCATTTTCTTGAGATTTTGGAGTCTTTCCAAAGAGCCTTGGGTGTTGATGCTCCTAGCATTCCAACATATTTTACTGATCATTAAAAAACTTTACTTCGTGACCTGGTGTTGAATCTACTAGTATTAGCAGATGTGCTTGTTGTGACGGTGTTGTTATATTGTCTGACTTCCTTTCTACCCCTTGGAGATAAACCTTGTGGAGTAGTGACTTCATGGATTTTAGACTCAAACTCACTTTGGAAAGTAGAACCAAAAGCGTTGATCAACTGTGCACTAGTTTCATCCTCTTCCTCTTCTCCTTCCTTTTCATTGAGAGATTGAATATCTTCGTCAAATCCATTTTCTAAATTTATAACTTCATAATCTGAGTTGTCATGGCACTGTTTTGGAGATTTATTTTCTCTTTGAATCTGCTCATTATCACCATGCAAACCTACCGCTCTTTGAATTCTTCTTTTAATTGCTTCTCTTTTCTTTTTGCTAGGTATGCCTTGTGATCTATTGTTTTGTTTTTCGATAGGAGTTTTATCTCCCTGCTGCTGATTCTCAAAATTAATAGTATATTTTTGATTTCCAGCAGCATTTATACCCCCAGGTTCTTGATTTTCAGCTCTTTTCAAACTCTGATCAGCCTCATAATTTTGCCATTGACTTGAATTTTTCTGCTGCCCCTGATTGCTGGAATTTGGAGACTTATTTTCTGCGGCTCTAAGGTCTCTCCTATGGTCCAAGTGATCAAAAACCAGAGTTTCTTTCCCACCGCCCCCTTTGGATACCTTCATCCTGTAGATTAGTGGGCTTCTCCTGACACCCTCCATCCATACCTCCATCAACTTCAACAGCCAACCCAACATTCACAATATTATCAGCAGCATTTACAGGGGATTGCTGGGGTGTGGGGAGAGATAAGTCAAAACCTGTTCTCTTGTTATTATTGGCTTGTGTGAGTTGTGTTTGATGTTGCTGCAGGTTTGTTCTTTGATTTGTTCATGGTGAAACAATATTTGTTTCTTCATTTTGTTGTGTATCACTGTCTGCATCCCCTTTCCTTTCTGAATTGTCCATGTGCAGGTTTTGGACATTTGTTGTTTGTGTTGTTGGTGATGATGCAGTAACTGGCTCTTGGATTAGTTGGATATTGCTGTCTGCAGCACCTTTCTTTCCTGATGTGTCCAGCTGCAGCTCCTGAACAGCCTGCTCCTGCACTTCTAAGTCACTATAAACATTATGAGTTGTAATGGAAGGAGGTATGCCTGCTGCCTGCTGGCTGTCATCAATGACTTTCTTGTGTTGTGGTGAGTGTGCTCTCCATGTTGTTTTGGGTTGAACTTGCTCCAAGTTTTTTGATTGTTTTCTTCTTTGTATCTGCCACTGCTCCTCTTTTTCTGAAACTTCTTGAACATAATTTCTTTCACCCTGATTTCTGGTCTCTTGTTTTTTTCCTTCTTGGTGGTTTCCTTTTTTATTTTGCTTAACATTTTCCTCTATTACATCTCCACCTTCATGCTGATCTCCTCTTGATTTATCTATTTTTCAGACTCCATTTCTTTCCTCTTGTTAACCCTCTTCATCTCTTCTTTTTATAGTGCAATCATAGTCCATATGCCCTTGATGTTTACAATACATACAATAGTCGGGGATACCTTCGTATTGAACCTTCAACCATCTCCCCTTGTTGGGGTCTGAATTTTTGAATCCCAACCATACATGTTCAGGCCTTTTCTTAGTGAGATCAACTTGAAATTTCACCCTAGTAGTGCTACCTCTAGTCTTTTGAGAAGTCGGAGAATCTAGATATAAGACCTTCCCGATAGATTCCAAGATAGTAGTCAATAGAACTTTATTATAACAATGCCATGATAAGCCTGGTACAACAACCCAAATAGGAACAATAGGAGTCTCTTCCTTGGGGGTAAAATCAGGGGTCCAAGCTTAAATTCTCATCAACTGCCCTTCAATAGTCATCCTCAATTTTTTCCATACAGTTATATAATCGAATTCATTATCAAGATCAATATACACATGCCTAGAGTTAAAGTGAGTAATCTTCACCCCTCCAGTAAGTGGAGTTTGAAGGGTAAAGCTCTTTCTAATAAACTCCATTTTAGGCATTGTATTGGTGAATTTTCCCACAAGTGTATACTTACAACATTCAGCCAATTTCACATAATTGTCATTTTCATCTAAGAGCACAGCAGGATAGCCTTGTCTAGTAGTATGTATGGGGTCATTCAACACAATTGGGATCTCATTCTTAGACTGATTATACCTCAGGCGGGCTGCAAAGGATTGAACAACAGTGTATAGAGAAGGTTCTGAAATTTTACCTTCTTTAACATTGTTACTAATGTTTTGCCCTTGTTGTTGGATGTTAGGAGGTCTAGCATTTCCTTGCGCAGCATTGTTCATCTGTTTATTTCTATCTATTTGAGAGTTAGGGTCATACCTAGTGAAGTTGTTGAAGATCTTTGGGAAATTGCTTTGGAAATTCATGGTTGTCCTGTTGCTTTGATTTGCTGAATTTGTTTCTCCTTGTTGATTGTTTTCCTGTCTTTGGGCCTGAGTTGATCTTGGTTTGTGAATTTGTTGGCTTTCCTTACCATTTGCAGCATTCCTTTGATCATTTGTTCTTTGGTGCATTTCCATGCCTGCAAAGTGACTTGCTTGTTCTTGCCTTTGAGGCTGTGTTTGTCCTTTCTCTTCTCCCTTGTCATTTTCATTTGGCCTGACCTGTGAAGCATCAACAATAATGTGAGGAGTTAGATAGGATGAGTTACCTGTAATTCCAAAGGAAAAGTTTGAGGATTGTTCAGCATTCGATGAGGCCACTGTATGCAACTTCATGTTGTTGGTGGTAGTATTCTGTTTTCTCAATCAAATTTCCCCCAGGTTGTGTCTTGCTTCCTTCTCCCATTGTTGGTGTTCGAATTGCTTGAACCTCCCACACATTGTGTTGTTCTGCATTTCGACTAGAGACAGATTCATGTTCTTCATTATCTTGTCTCCCCTGTTGCAGTTTGAGTGTAGAATCATAGTGGGATAACGAATTGTTGTTGAAGTTGTTTCTTCCTTCAATATTGTTAGAAGAATCTGCTAAGTGAACGTCAATAGACTGAAAGTTAGTCCCCATTATCGATTTTCCATGGTTTCAGGTGTTTTGAGCTTCTCGTACGCTGGACTTCTCACACCGGCAATTCCCCCGTCTCTTTTGCTTGAAATTTCAATGGGATGCTCCTTATCAACAGGGGGGTAAACCCCAGTACTCAATACATTACAACATTGGCTCGAAGTTGCTCAAATTTCAGTTTGCCGCCCAGGCGATTCCCTCACGATTCTCACCAAATTCATTTCTCGATTCCTTTCAATTGGTAAAGTGGAATAGATCGTGAGTAGTATTATCCAGTTCCACTATCGATTTTCCTCGATTCCACACAGAAATACCCTGGGAAATATTTTCTCGTTCTCGATCAAACTCCTCTGGAAACGCAGCATTCTTCACATTTGTATCTATTGAATTCGAGGAATTGAGAGATGAATCATAGTGCGTGCCATACTGGGGTTTTTTGCCATCTTCATGGCTCCCCATTTGGCTTTCTTCTTGTGTTTTTTGGAGGTCCACCGGCGGCGCACGCGCCAGCGCAGCAGCGCGCGTTTCAGATATTTCTGTAGCCGTTGTAAGAGTAGGCGGGAGCGTCTGAAGAGAGAGAGATTAATATGCACGTTTGGAGTCATCAAAGCATTTCAAGTCTAAACCAAAGAATTATATTTTCATCGTATCATGTCATATATCAATCTATCATTCTAAGGGAGCTCCATTCAACCATAACAACTATTAGCAAGTTATAACCATATAATGAAACAAATCTTCACATAACATATCATTCTCATAAACCACATATATAGTTATAAATGGCACCACATTAACATATATTCAAAATTCACCTTCACACATACTTTTTACACCATAAACCAAGTAAGCATTAAAATCACTTTTTTCTCCCTCAAGCACAGATATACAATCTCATCCAAGAAATCAAATCTAAAAGACCAATGGACACGAAAATATAAGACAGAAAGATCATATAGAGTTAAAATTTATAGCACAACATAAGAGTAGTGCAAAAAATGAAACTCTATCGTCTTATAGCCTCTTGCTCATAGATGTATCGTGACTCACCACCAATGAACATTACTCTACTAGACGTGGTAATATGAGACTTTTGAACCCTAAAACCACTTTTATTACCTCATGATCGATACCATATTTGTCACGACCGGGGAGCACCCCGTATTAGTAACATGGCGTACTTGACCTTTAAAAGTTCTTATTCAAGCCCATAGACATCATTCATCGCATTGTCATATGAATTTAGCGAAAAATTTAAAACTTTTCATAACACATCGTATGCTAGAAACTTCACTTCATATATATGAAATATCATAATACATAGTTAGACTCTAAGTCTCTTTTTCCATCTTAGACTCAACATCAATAAAATAGAATAGAGACATGACCCTTCTCAATATATAACAATAATTAAGCTATTACATAACTTTGAACATAAACAGGACATAGGAAATCCATGAATCATAAGGATCTCTTTCTTCGGCTTGGGAAACATATATCAAGCCCTTCACTTTAGAGACACCTTTAAGCATCCATTACCTACACTTTGTGTAAAAAAATGAAGAAGAATAGTATTAGTACAAGAATTCACTAATTATTGTAACCATGCAAAAAAATGCATTTAAAGAGGACATTTGGTTAGAAAACCATGCATCATACCTTTTATAAAAACATCATCAAAACATTAATAAATAAACATAATATAAATCATATACTTAATAATATAGGCATAGACACTATTCATAACATCACATACAGTCATATAATTCATTTAAAGCTCATTTATCATTTCATAACATAATCTTCCTTTTTAATGTAAGTCTTTTACCCCAAAGTAACCCTCTAGAAAACATGGTGCAATGCATGAATAGTATCTAAGTCCACTACCAACACTCAAGAATCATTTTAAGATCACCAAGTTCAACATTCATACAACCTTCATTGACTTAAAACCACACTTTCACATAAGTACAACATATCATGAAACAAATACTTTATATATGACCTAACATACATCATAAACCATATATAAGACTCATTTCAAAACCATATGTAAGTCAACACTACCAACAACATCATAAGAAGTAATAGTCAACAATAGAATACTTGTACTTCATTTTATTTAACATCATACGAGTTAACTCACAATCCCAACCCAAGCCTACTTGTGCAATGTACATGTGAAGTCCAAAAACCACATACATAGTAAACTCACAAGGGGACTACAAGCATACCATTTAGTATATGCATACACATGACAACCATACTCAACTACATACATAAGTAGGACCTTCATCATATGAAAAGTAAGACCAACATCATGCATATCAAGGTAAGACCTCATCATATAGTTAACAAGACCAACATTATTCACAGAAAGTGATACCTCATCAAATAGACACCACAGGACTCATACTATGCATATTATCATAACATGTGACCTAATCCAATAGACACCACATGACTCATACTATTCATATTATCATAAAAATTGTCAATATAACAATGTCAAGAGATACTTGTACAATGCATAGGTAAAATCTCTATTCAAGAGATACTTGTACAATGCATAGGTAAAATCTCATAGCCTCACTTACACTAAGAAACTTCTCTTAGTTTATGCTAGTTAGGTTTATTACTTTACTTCAATTGTCCATTTTACTTTAGGGAAATCTAGACTTAACCAACAATAAGACCATGTAACTAAACATAATATCTGGTATCATCCCCTCACACCAAAAGAGGGTATCTTACTTTCCAAGGTTAGACATGAGTATCATTTTAGCAGTTTAGGTGGATCCACTTGCTATGTCTTATGGGCAACATAGTTAAGGAACTAGGAGTTGTATTGAAACCCTCCTTATTCCCTTAGTCATTAAGGTTTACACCTCATAAGAAACCATGGGTGAATCTCCCTCCAAGGGTAGTCAACACCTCATGTGGAACCATAAGTAAATTTCCCTCCAAGGAAAGTCAACACCTAATGAGAAACCATTGGCGAACAAGACCTCCTTATTAGGAAGGTGCACCTCTAATTTGTCAAATTCACTCGGTCCGAAACTGAGTTCACTTTTTAGAAAAGTGTTTATTAACTTTATTTCATAAAAATAGGGTTTAGGAGTATTAACCTCTCATATGCTTAGCTCATAGGTTATAGATGAGAATTGTTCTTTCATCAAACTAAATAATGCGAGAAAACCTTTCACATGGACATAGAATATTGAAGAATAGTCTAGTTTAGAGTACAATTCAGAATACCTTTCAAGAGACCCTACTTTACTAGAAATCGTTCATACTTCATTATGCATTTATTTATGTGTCTGTACATGTTAATATATGAGGAAACCTTTCATTTACAACATTTAGACGCTACACATATGCATACTTCATCATTTCATTTACTTTCATATTCATAGCTTAATCACACATTCATATTCATAATATAGAGTATAACCCTAGAAGTTATTCTATCAAGGTAGACATGTTCAATGTATTGGCAAAGTCTCATACCCTTACCTATACTAGTTAACCTGTCAAGTCATCCTAGTAAAAATCCATATTCATACTTTCATGGACAAGTACTTTACATGCATAATAGTAGAAAATAGTGCATATAATAACCCCTTTAATTAGACACCATAAATATATGCAACTTATAGACATGCATAAGGTGTGTGTGTACATTGGAAAACTTTATCACATAATGGATAGAAACAAAACATTGAGGCAGCCACCCTTTTAAGACCACAATACGCGTTCATGCATTGACCACACACCAAATCATAGTATAGGAGACAAGACACCTTCAACATTACATCCAAGACTTCTAACATTAGCTAAGATCACAGATTCATATGGGCGTACATAGGTAGGGGGTCACAATTTATACTTCATTGTTGGCATCACAACGATCATCCCTAACCCTAATAAGTTTATTTAAATGGAGAATTTATCATCAATACAACTAGAACATGATACTAGATTGATATACTAGGCATAACACTTCATGTTGGGTGATCATAATAACCATAGTTCATAATTCATAACTTTCCTTCAAGGCCATGATCAACATATATAGAGAATGAAAAGAAAGTAAACACCGCTACCATAAGTGGACCATGCCAAACAATACCATACAAGACCAGTTCATCTATCAATTTTATTGAAAAGTAGATGAATATGGCAATCTTACCAATTTCCATGCTTTGATCACCATTGATAAATTCCCATAATTCATCAAAAATTCATATAAAAAACAATAGCTAAAGGTATAATAATCTAAAAAAAATTCCAGAATTCAATCATCATAGGTTCAAGATCACATTACCCACATTATAGTATAAATTGAGATTTTGGGAGGACCATGGTTTCATCATGAAATTGTATTGAAATAAACATCATAATAGTATCAAATAATCAATTTATCATAAGTATACTTCTGAAATCAGTTTCGGAAAGAACCCAAGGCTAGATTGAAAGATATAGAGTTTGATCATGAAATCTCTTTGAAAACCTTTTGAAAGAACTCCTTAGATGAATGGATAACTTAGGATGAAGGATCACAATATCTCATTTCATGAAGAAGACACGAAATTTTTTGAAGAATTAATAAATAGTACCCCTAAGCTGAGCTTGAGCTTCATCTCCGATAGAGGTTTCTATAGAGAATTTGTTTTAAGAGGGAATGTGAAACTTTGAATAATGAATCAACGATGGGGTTTTTTATAATATTAAGTAACTTAATTTACCTAAAATACCAAATAATAACCATCCATAAAAGTTTTGGTACATAGGGTGAATTTCCCGATTCACCTCTTATATGGCAACGTTTTAGACAGTGTTGCAGGTCTCACTGACGAAGGACAGTCGACGGACCGTCGTCTGGTCGACGGCGCCGTACTATTGTTCCGTATATTGTGACTGAGACCTCCATTTTGGGGGATGAGATCACACTTCTAAGTTTTGAGAAACACCCTTAATCGACAATGCATAGAATGGAGTAC